TTCCACAATGTATCTGACTTTCTTGATTTTGTTACTATAAAAACCTCTCAAGTCGTTACCACACTGGAACATGGAATTTGGAGTAACCTAAATCCGTGCTGCGGGGTAAATACCCAAAGACCACTCACTCAGCAGGACCAAAGTTCAAATTGAAAGTCTGTACTGAGCCACCAGAGACTGCCTGGAGAACACTTCTCAAAGCCACAAAGGTATATTATAGGGAATTTTTTAAAGAGTAAGAACACAGGAGAACTGCATCACGATTGGCAGTCACAGGGGGAAGCAAGCAAGCAGTTGAACAAGAGCCAAGAGCACGCAGTTAGCTGGGGCATTTCGACCCGAGTTTCTAGAACGGGGTTTGGTGCTTTCCCGTGGGACTTTTCAGGGCAGGGGACAGAAACCAAAGATGGCATCCGCTGAGACATCAGTGGAGGACCTTTGCCCTGGTATATATATCTGTGTTCCCGGTGTGTGGCCACTGGTATTTGGCTCACGAGTAAACTTTCTCTTATCCCTTTGGAGGTGGGAGTTGTGTTTTCACGTTGATAGTTTGAAAAAAGCCAGTACTCCAGAGCAAGCTGTAACCAACCCCAGGACCAAGGAGGCAGATGCAGGAGGCTCCCTGGGCCTTGCTGGTCGGCCAGTGCAGTCGAACTTATAAGCTCCAGGTTCAGTGAGAGGCCCGGTCTCAAGAATTAGGGAAGAGTGATTAAATACAACTTCAGCTTCTGGCTTCCACATGCATATATACCTGCAAAACACACACACACACACACACACACACACACACACACACACACACACACACACACACTGAAACATATATACACACACACACAGTACCAAGAGAAAAACAGATGATTGTCTGCAAGATTACCAGCTGGTTTCTCGGAAGAAGTGGTGGAAGCCAGAATGAACTGAGATGGCATATAAAGCGCTGAAGGATTGAAAAAAAAAAAAAAAAAAGGTAAGAAAAAGGTTAAGAAACAGCAGGGCTTATGTGATCAATAGAGAATATATATTGTTTAAAAGGAGAAGAACGCAGGAACGGAAAGGAAATATGTGTCTGATCGGTATCTGGAGCCTCCGGGCACAAAATCAACGACCCATCACTTGGGGTTGTTCCTGCAGCCTGAGATCACAGGGCATAGGTGACCAAGTTCACGTTCCAGGCAGCAGCTTCCATCAGGCTTACTCCGGATTCCATGATGACCTTCTAACTCCATTTTGAGGTTTTTCACAACTGGTTTTCCTTTTATTTTCACAACCACAGAAAGAAAGAAAGAAAGAAAGAAAGAAAGAAAGAAAGAAAGAAAGAAAGAAAGAAAGAAAGAAAGAAAGAAAGAAAGAAAGAAAGAAAGAAAGAAAGAAAGAAAGTGAAAAGAGAAAGCAAACACTCTCTAAGATTAAGTGAACAGAAAGTACTTCTAAGACAAAGCTGCAATCTTTATCTAGTCCATAAACGCTGTTTCGAAACTCCCCCACTTCAACTGGTGCACTAAACAGTGACAGAGGAAAACCGCCACTGTCACCAAGCCCTGCCCTGAAACCTCCCCCTCCCTCACCCACTCTGCCCCAGCACTACCTGGGTGCAAGGTGCTCAACGGTGAGAAAGAAAACTATCCGTACAGACAGGCATTGCTGTGCGTAACTCATCCCCCTTCCCTCAAGTTCATATGTTGACGTCTTAAGTCTCAGAACGGGGGTGCAAAGGACACAGGGTTTTTAAAGCATAATTAAGTTAAAATGAGGCTCTTGGGGGTGGAGGGTTCTAGTCTTACATAAGAAGAAGAAACCTGGGCTTGCATCCCCTGACTCTATACAACCATTGCTCCCAAAGTTGGTGTCCTAACAGTACCATTGAGTTTGCTGATGCGTGAGAGAAAAGGTAGTATCTTTTTCTCATCTATCACAAGGTGCCTGGCTAAAACCCTTACAGCAAAAGAAAGATTAGGACAAGAAAAACACATGGCCTGGAATCCTTCAAAAACGAAAACCCAAAGACTTGGGGAAACGATTTCTATGGACTGTCATACAGACGTGTGAATGGAAAATAAGAAGGTCTAAGCTGAGGGACTGTGTAGCAAGGCTGTTCCTCCAGGTTCTTCTTGGCCTTTGGGCAAAGGACTCAGGATATCCTCTGGAATGAGGATCTGGAGATCTACTTTCAGGAAAGTAGGTCAAAGAATTCTTTTTCCGGTCAGGATCAGGGGGAAAAGGCAGGAAAGGACCAGACTGAGACCTTCCATCTATGATATCCTGAGTTTCCTTCAGATTAATCCTGATGAAACACTCCTTCCTTCCCAGGGTAGGTTGGATTCCTCTCTTCTTCAGGTCAGTGGGTGATATGGATGCTTCCGGAACACTTTCTTACTGCAGAGGGTACACTGGAAGGAGACCCCTCCTCCTCCCCTCTCAAGAGTCACATTTTTCTTCTTAAGCGCCATCCTTGTTTCTCACAAGGAAGCCCTACTCTCTCTGGCCAGTCATCACCTCCACTATCACCTTTCTTTTTTCCTGGACAACAGTCGCCCCATGGAATCTCCCTCACCCGACTTGTTCAAGCCAGACATCTTACGAGTAGTTAAAAGGATGTGTGCTCCGCAAATATGAAAAACCTTTCTTCAAAGAATTCACTGAATGTTGCGGTGACTCAGTGAGTGCCTCACCATTACAGGGGAGCAAAAGATTAGTCCAGCTTCATTTTACAACTGGGAGAGACAGGAAAAAACAAACAAACGAGCAACAAAGCTCCTAGCTTGGGTCCAGCCCTGGTTCTCAGGCTTCTCACAAACAGAAGGCATTGTTGGTGCCCAAAGGGAGAACGAAAGACAGGTGCCCTTGGTAGAGAGATTGAGAGATCCGGCTGTTGACAGAGCGAGGCGGAAGAGAACACGGGGTCCGTTCTTGCATCCTGGAAGTCATAAAGCCATTCAGAGCTATTCAGAGATCTGAGAACGGCCTTGGGCAGAGCCCCGCCTGATCCCGCCAGGAAGGAGAAGGGCAGCGTGCATGTCACCAGCTGGTGTTGCCCTGCAGCCAGTCTTAGACGAGTCACACCAGACACACTCAGAACCGGGACCACCACAGCCCACTGCCAGGGGGTTCTCTATGGTTGGTCCAGAGATTCCCTCAGCTCAGCACGGGGACCAGAAGTCTGACAGGTGTTGGCAGGGAAAGCTGGCGACTGGGGTAGTTTCATCGTGTTTGGGAAAAGGACAGTTGGAGAAGGCACTCTCGGGCAGATGTGTGGAGGACGTACAGATCTAGAAGAGAAGGGATTGAGTTGGGTGTTTAGTGTGCTGTTCATACAGTTGTATAGCTACAACCCAACTAGCCACTTAAAATTTACATTTGAATAAGCTCCACGCTGTAACCTTTTAAAACAAGGAAATAAAAGTAAAATCAAATGTCACTTTGGTAGGATACATGTGTATCGTCTTTGATGACCAGAAGTCTGATGCAGGGAGAATTCTGGACAAAGTAGTATTTTCAAAGGTTACATTCTTCTACTTTGAAAAAAAATGCTTCTTTCTTTCTTTCTTTAGTGTGTGTGTACATGTATGTCCCCAAATGCACACACTCCACAATGCACATGTGGTCAGAGGACAGCTTTCAGGACTTGCTTCTCTTCTTCCACGTGGGCTCTCGGGCTGTCATGTTTGACATGTGTTTACCCTCTGAGCCGTCTTACCGGCCCTCACAGGTTACGTTCTAAAGGGACAGAGTGAAAAGAACGCAGAACTCAGCGTGTGACTTTGAATGTGGCTGTGATTTCAGCCTGGAGACGGTGCTGCTTGCAAATGATGCCGCTAATGGATGCCTTCATCAACAAGGTGAGGGTGGGGTTGTTCTAACTCCACCCCTGCCCCACATGCTGCCGCACTGACCCTGAGCTTTTCAATTTAATCCATCAGTACTGAGAGACATGCCCCGGAGATGGCGAGAATCCTCCGCCACGGCACGCAAATTGATCTTGACATTTAATTTTTCTTTTTAAGTCTGTGTGGGGAATTTTTGGAAGCAGAGCTGCACTGAGCAAGGTTATTGAGCAAAACTTAGTATGGCATAACCTTTTCTTTGCCCTTTTCTCTTCAGCCCTCCAGGACCACCCAGGTGCTTGAGGGCTCTCCCCCTTGCAGGTGTAATAGCCTGCTTATACGGAGGATCAATTATCGTAGCTTTCTTCAGACAGATTTAAGTCCAGGTTTTTCTCTGAGGCTACAAGTTTGTGCCTTTACTCTGTCTTACGGGTTATTGAAGAGGAAGAAATAGACGTGGCATGTATTGGGTACCCCAAATATTCATCGGGATAAATTTTTCTTTTGTTCTTGTGGAGGAAAAAGGAACCCAACCCATTTAATTCAAAAGGCAAAAGCCATGTCTAGACTCCACTAGAGGGATGGGCTCTTTTCATTTGCTCGCTCCAAGCAAACAGTAACTACTTTTCAAGAAGGCACAGAGAGCAGAGGAAGTCAGAGGAAGAGACGCAGCATGAAATTAAAAGTAAAACTTCAGTGCACCTTTGCCTGCCTGTACAATAGAGAGCTGGGAGCTTTGGCAAGCAGGAGGGAAGGTGGGCGGCATCTCATCCCCCACCCCTTACAGCTTCAGCTGGCACCAAGGAGTGCCAGGTCCTCTGGGAGAAGCACTGGAAAACGCCAGGCAGGGTTAGGAGGGGCAATTCTTTCCAGTTCTCACTTCCAGAGACCCTATCAAGGTGTTTTGTCATACCTTAAAACACAAATTAGGAGCCACAAATTATTCCTAAACTATGCTTCCTTCACATTTATTATGTTGACCTTCTTGCTGATAAATGTTTTAAAAAGTAAAATGGGAAATGATCCATTTGACGCACCAGCCCGTTCATAAGGTGCCTCTTCGTACGTGGTTTCAGTTGTCTCATTTGGTCAAGAGAGTGTAAGTCATTTCTCTAGCTAGTTACATTTAATGTATAAGAAACACTAACGATTCCTTTGGAAACCTGTGACCCACTGTCTCTCCGCCCTCCATCCACTGAGGAGAGACTTAGTCACCGCTTAGTGTTGCAATGGGTGTGGGTGTGACTCACAGAAAGAAGTAGAGAAGCCTTCACACAGAGCTCTGCAGATGCCTGGACACCTTGAGAGGATCAGCTTGCTCTGGGCGGCACTTCCTTCTCCTGGGCACAGCAGGAAGGTGGGAATCAGCTGAGCAAGTCCCCAGCAGCTTCTGCACCCCCAGCCATCTTCAGAGAGGTAACTGGTGATTGTTCAGTCATTTGTCCCTTCGCTTACCATCTCAACCTGAACTGTCTTTCATTTTCCATGCGCTTACAGAATGAATCAAGTTGTCTTTCAGCTGTGGTCAACTTTTTTTTTAATATAGTATGAAAATGATGGGAGCAGAGTCCATCTCATAAAGAAATGATCTCAGTGTGACCCAGGAGGCTGGCTGAAATTCTTCCAGGACTCAGGACTCTGAATAACCTGTAGCATCCTGTAGTCACAACTAATTCCTCTCTGTCCCTCTCCCTCTCTCCCTCCCTTCCTCCCTTCATCTCTCCAACCCTGTTTGACACCAACTGTGACTCTTGGGACTATTGAGAAACTGGAGAGTGCAGAGATCCAAATGTTGTGGGCATCTTAACAGAGCGTCTCGGCAGTGGGAGCAAGGCATTGCCAGCTGCTGCCTGATATGTTTCTCTCCCCCTGCTTTCCCAATATCACCAGTTTCCACCAATACCTGTAGACGAACACTAAACTGGAAGAGAAAAATATTGGGAATGAAGAAAGGATATTTCTAAGGTGTATGCACACTCTGATCCGTGGGTTCTGGCTTGTTGGGGGGGAAAAAAGAAAGAAAACAAAGACAAAAACAAAAACAAAAAAACTCCTGCTCAGATAGTCACTCCACATTTTATAATAAAGTGACTTGGTATTCAAATGCCCCCACGAACATTTGATTTTTGGCAGGTGGGGGCAATAACTCTGTAAAGCTCCACGACACTCTCAGCCCAAAGCTAGGGGTTAGGTTTTATTTATCTTAGCATCACTTGGCACATATTAGATGCTCTGAAACATCTTTGGCCAGACAAGGCTCGACCTGAGAATGAAAGGCTCCTTTCTTGTCATTGCTCGGCATCCTTTCACGTTTGAAAATGGTGGGCACTTTTTAAAATCAATCTCAGTGTTTAAATACCAGGAAAATTTGTTGCGTCATTCAGTTCAAGAGGTGAGACCCTGATCACAAATGTCGCTTTCTCAAGGGGCAGCATTTTAAAACACTAACATTTTCACCTGGAGTAAAGCTAACTGTGGCTGAAAGAAGCACCTTGCTGCACTGATACACACATCCACTCTATTCTGAACTTTCTTTGAAGCTGTGTGACCAGGAATTATAATAACATACAGCATACAATCCCTTCCAGCTGGCAGTTACTATTTTGTGGCCGTAACTAAAGAAACTGTAGATTTAACGGTGACTCCCGGTGTGCTCTTACTGTCGGGAAGCACACAGCCAAAACAAGACACATAAGGGGACCTGGGGTGGTCCATATTCATTAGCCAAGATGCTTAGTAAATTGCTTTAATTTAAGAACGTTTTCCTGAGACTTGAGTGGGTTTGTACACCTGGGGAGGCAGGACAGCTCTGGAAAGCCGCAGAGGAAGCATACATGCCCTTCTCCCACCACACACCGGGTGTGGAGCTGCGCCCTCCCGCAGGGATTACGGTGAAATCTAACTAAGGAAGCTCGGCTTCCTCCTGTTACGGGAGGAAACTGGCCATTCCAGGATGCCGAACACCACCTCATCCCGGCTCTGTCGTCATTGTGCTCAGTGATGTGGTTTTCACCAGATTCTCAACAGGAGGGGTCATTGGCTCCATTTCTTAATTCATTTCAGATTTTTCAGGTACCTGACTTGTATCTTCTTCTTCAAGTGAGTACACTTCCTTACGTGTGTGGGCTCATTTGTATCATCATCAGGCTCTGGTGAAAAGCAGAACAGATGTATCTGAAAGGCAACCTTAGGTTTAAAAAAGGAAGAATTTTTACTTCAGTAAAAAGGCACAAAATAAAAATGAGCTCTGAGTAATGAATCATAGATGCAATATCTAAATATAAGAAGCACGCGTGATCCATGGTAGTCATTAATTAAGAACACTTGCATAAGAAAACTCGCAAAATATTTCAGGCAGTCATCACCAAATGCTTTCTATTTGATGCATCTTGGCACAGTCACTCAGTTGTTGATCCAGAGACTGCAACAATTGAAGGTAAATAAAGACTTAATAAACTCCCAGTGTTGTCTGAAAGAAAGTCTTCCGTGGAATTATGTGGACATGGAAGGAGCTGGCCTGGGAGGAAGCGTCTAGAAAGAGCTTTACTGTCTAACGAGGACTTGCAACGTTAGCGTCTATTTCTGTCCTGTCGCCCAGTTCCTACCGGTAGAGGGAGGCAACTGATGGAAGGGAAGTCCAAGGAGTCTATTTTCAGTTTCTTACTAAGAAACCCAGGAAAAGAAGCCAGAAAGCAGAAGTGGGGCTGCTGTGGAGAACGGAGTCTTCTGACAGCTGCTGTCACGTGGTCCCGACGTTAGCACTCGACGTGAAGAGGATAGTCGGTCTCCTCTCATGGCTCCTTCTGAATCTGTTGTACGACAGTGAATTTCTGATAAGACGTTTCATTCCTCCTAGCGACTGACAACGTGTTCATCTCCCCACAGCTCTTCACTCTCCTCTTACACAATTTAAGATTCCAAGGGGAAAGTCAGTTCAAGAGGTCTTTTAGCAAACGTTCTAATTTGTAATATTCAACCCAACTCCCAAGATAGCATGACAATTAAATGAGATATATATTATGAGGTTTATAAGATATAACCCTGAACTTTTTTTTTTTTTCAAGACAGGGTTTCTCTATGTAGTTTTGGTGCCTGTCTTAGATCTTGTTCTGTAGACCAGGCTGGCCTCAGACTCACAGAGATCCACCTGGCTCTGCCTCCCAAGTGTTGAGATCAAAGACATGTGCCACCACCACCCGGCTGACCCTGAACTTTTTCATTATCTAAATTGGAAGTGGGGACATTGCTTGATTGTCCATGTCATTCTCTTCCTTCGTCCTAAAGTTCAGTGATCTCAGAGATCAATCCAAGTATGATTCAGAGCCCAGAAGCCAGAGTGGATCCCTTCCTTCTCTCCCTTCGGTTCTTCCTATTGCTCTTCTGCTTAAGGCCACGCATCACACACAGCACAGAGGTGGTAAAGAAGTGGGCACACAGCCTAGATGCCAGAGCCCAGTGGGAATGAATACAGCCCAGGTGGGATCAGAGGGGTCTGTCCCAGAGTCACCTCAGCACCATAGCTTGTACCTTGAACCAATTAGCCTGTGTTTCTGAATTCACCTCTTCTCTATAGATTGATTTATTTATTTGGGGGTTTTGAGGAAGGCTCTCACTATGTCACCTAGACTGGTCTCTCCCTCCTATCTTTGCCCTCTGAGTGCTGAGATAGATATGAGTTATGACACCCAGCACAAAAGGAAATAATTTTATCATGAAGTTTAAGATAAATATTTATAGGTTCAGGCAACAGCCTAGAACAGGGTTTCTTAAACTTTTCCCAATTTTGTCTCCTTTGCATCCAAGAAATATAGATCTATATAGTCCCAGATATATCGATCTGTAAAATGGGCGTGCAAAGCAAACACATATTGACAAACCATAAAGAAAATTATTCTGAAGCAATTCTCTTGGACACACATAATTTTACCAATTACTGAAGATGAAAACAAATTTGCACACTGATGGTAGATGTGCTTGGTTATCTAAATATTTGATGCTACAGGACACAGCAACTTCAACATTTTTCAGAGTTGACTGACATTTTGATTTTTGATTGTGAATACTGAGAATGTCATTTGGCATAAATATGTAGTGCAAAATAGCAGAAACTTATTTAAGGCCATTTCAGAATTGCTGAAAATTTTGTCCTAATCCCAAGCCCAAATTCATTTAATGATTTTCTTTTTTTAATGAAACTCAAGTCAGCAGCTCAAACAGTAATTTTTTTAAAAGGACTTGCTTATTTTATTTTTGTGTATATTAGTGTTTTCCCTGGATGTATACATGAATACCTGGTACTTTTGGAAGCCAGAAAAAGGTGCCAGATCATCTGGAAGTTGAATGCCACCATGTGGGTGCTGGGAGCCAAACTCATGTCCTCTACAAGAGCAGCTAGTACTCTTATCCACTGAACCATGTTGCCATCCCTTCAAATAGTAATTTTTAAAGTCAAATGGTCTACCACAGTACAATCCAAAGGCATACCAATGTGATATTTACATGAGAAAGAATGACCGTAAGAAAATATTAAGCCCATACTTTCTGTGATTTAACTATTACATTCCAAAGAGCAGAAAAATCTCCTACATATACTAAAAATTCTGCACATCTTCACGTCCAACAGCCTGGAGTCTGAGCCCGGGTTTTTAAGGCAGCATTGGCTGGTACTGCACGCACAAGGCAAAGTGTGGGTGCTGAGTTCAGAATCGCAGCTGCAGTGAAGTCATTCCATGGAACAGGGACAAGTGTGGGTGGCCCCAACAACCTTGGATCCACCATGGTTTTGAAATAATTTTTAGTCATTGCCAATTCAAAACCCTTTTATTATTGTCAAGGTTTTTTTTTTAAATCCCACATTTAGTTACACGACCCTATGTTGGATCTTTATCCATGGTTTAAAACACTGTGGCATTCAGTCAACCACAACCATCACTCATACTTGTACCTGACTTTATTAACCAGAAATCTGAGGACCATGGATTTCCTAGGAGCACTTGCCAAACTCTAGAGGGTCAGTTTTCTACCCAGCACAAGCTGTCATGGCCCCAATGCAAAGGCTCAGTCAGAATCCAGGTCTCACAAATGCTGGGAGTGCTAATGTGGTCATTTCTAAATCTACAAATGGTGTTATGCATAATTTGGTCTTTTGGATGCCTTCTATCTTCAGAGTAAGAGAAGCAGATATTTTTTAAATTGCAAAAATGAGTGCTTGCCAAAGCAGGATATGAGTAATTTTATAAGGAACGAAACCTCTCTGTTAAAGTCATTAAAAAAATATAAATACACATCGAGGAGACACCACCAAGAAAGGGATGACTGGATTTCCAGATAAGTGGTCCTGGATACAGTGACCCTCTGGACCTTCAGAAAAGAACCTCTGTGCCAACAGTTCTCAAGTGTGAGCAATTTTGTCTCCT